GGATGGATGGATGGATGAATTGCAACAAGAGCTGTATGAGCCCTCAATAAAATTATTTAAAAAACAAAAAAGATTAAAAATGCCACAGGAAAGGGGGAGAGAGATCAGACCTCAACCTGATACACCAAGCTTTGAAGGCAACATACTGGCATGACACAATGTACTTAACAGAGAGTTCTGTGTGGCCAACTCCAATCCCAGCTACATCAACCACCTCCCCCCGAAGATTGCACTACAGATGACAGCACTGAAGGTACAGCCTGGGGAGAGTGGTGGGTCTTCCCAGGCCACATGGAAGCAAACTAAGATGGAAAGAGAGAGAGAGAGAACCACAACCTAGCCCACCAAGCCCCAAGGACAAAATTCCTGCTCAGGGCAGCCAAGGCACAGAGAGGATCATAGGACTGGCCCCAACGTGAGACACAATGTCCCCTCACTGAAATCACAGAGCTGCAGGAAACAGCACCAAAGACACAGTGTGGGAATTGTACCTGGCCTGATGCCCCCCACTCCCCGCACACACAGGGGCAATGCACAAAGGGAGCACAACAGAGCAGCAAGGGGAGCACAGCAACCAAATCCCCAAGGAATCCCAAAAGTAGGCTTCAGACTCAGAGGACAGGGCTTGGCACCTCATCAGACTCTATTGGAAAATATTCGTAAGGGTCAACATACACACCTGGAACTATCTATAGCAGCCCCTCACACACCTTTTATTATTTTCCCTTCTTTTTTAATTTTCCCTTCTTTTTTTCATATCTATCTATATAAGATAGGCAAGATAAACAATCCTGAGGAGAAAACAAAGGACCAACAGTTCCAGGGGGACAGGAGAGAGAGGGAGGTGGGGCAAAGAAAGGGAGAATCCAACAAACCCAGCGAGAAGGGATCAACAAGAGATCTAAAATTGATGGCCAGGAGGGTGTAGAATGTCTGGTGGGGTTTAAGGGCAATGTAGTTGAAAGAAATTACTGAGAACCGAATGAAGGTCAAACATGATAGTGGGACAGAAGGAAAGTAAAAGGAAATAGAGGAAAGAACTAGGAGGCAAAAGACATTT